CTTTTTTAAAAGTAAAATACCACTGTTTGATGTGTTGTTCCTCAAACCATCTTCACACTGACTGTAGCCCTTAAAGGTAAAGGTAAAGGGACCCCTGACCATTAGGTCTAGTCGTGACCGACTCTGGGGTTGCGGTGCTCATCTCGCTTTATTGGCCGAGGGAGCCAGCGTACAGCTTCTGGGTCATGTGGCCAGCATGACTAAGCCGCTTCTGGCGAACCAGAGCAGCACACGGAAACGGCGTTTACCTTCCCGCCAGAGCGGTACCTATTTATCTACTTGCACTTTGACGTGCTTTCGAACTGCTAGGTTGGCAGGAGCAGGGACCGAGCGATGGGAGCTCACCCCATCGCAGGGATTCGATCCGCTGACCTTTTGATCAGCAAGTCCTAGGCTCTGTGGTTTAACCCACAGCACCACCCGCATCCCCGACTGTAGCCCTTAAGCCATTCCTAATTCATCACATTTAAGAATATAAGCAAAGCCTGCTGCATGAGGCCAATGGCCCATCTAGTCTAGCCTCCTGTTCTCACAATGGCCAACCAGGTGCCTCTGGGAAGCTCAAAAGCAGGACCCGAGAACAAGAGCCCCCTCCCCATCTGTGGTTTCCAGCAACTCCTAGTGAGAGCATAGCCATCTTGCTTAGTAGCCCTTGATAGCCTTGAATTTGAATAATCCTTTTTTTAAACCAGGCCATCATTGCCTCCTGTGGAAATGAGCTCCACAGTTTAACTATGAGCTGTGTAAGGAAAGCAGATTCTTCTATCTGTCCTGAATCTTCCAACACTTGGCCTTGTTGGATGCCAGTGAGTTCTAGTGTAATGAGAGAAGGAGAAAAACTTTGCTCAAGCCACTGTCTTTTAATGGATAGTGTAATTTGTGAGTTTGGAACCATTGTGCCAAAGAATGGGTAAAGTCATGTCAACGGCATGTTTTGGCCTGCCATCTTGATTCAAAATGGCGCTTGGAATCCAAACGTCAACAGAGACCCCCACTCCACATCAGGTTTGGCAATGGTGTCTCGAGAGGAAGCCAAATGTATGCTTAAAAACAGGTGAGCTATGGTTTGGTCCACCATCTTGAATAAAAATGGTGACTGACATCCATTGATGACGACTGCCACCCCTACCTCACAGGAACCCTGATGCCAAGTTTGGCAATGATGTCACAAGAGGCGGTCAAACCTATGCCAAAACAAAAAACAAAACAAAAAACACAGGCAAAACAAAAAACACAGGCAAAACCTCACCGAATCAACATTTGGGCCCTCCATCTTGATTCAAAATGGTGGCCGGCATCACAGTTGCCAGGAAAAGGGTCGTCCCCACCTTGTTGATTTTGGTGATGAAGTGAAAACCCAGCCAGATGAGGGGGGTAGAAATTATTATTATTATTATTATTATTATTAAGAAACCGGCAGTCAAGACAAACCACTTTTCGAAATATACAGCCGATTCTTCTTTCTCTCTTTTGCTTTTTTTAATATTACATTTTTATGGTGTTTCTTACAGAGATTTTAAACTGTGGGTCCTGCTTTGGGCAATTTCCTCCCTCTCGTTTTGAAGATTGCAGACAGGTGAAAGAAATAACCAAGACACAGATGACATCAAGAGTGCCTTGGTCCGCTCTCAGGAGTTCTGCAGTGCGCTTCTGAGATGTTTATTTGTCCTCCAGTACCCGGCTTTGCCGAGGGTGGGGGTGAATGGGAAGAAAAATGGAAGAGACTGCGTTGGGTTAAGGAGACTTGAGCGGAGGAGGCATCTGAAGCGGCTGCTTTTCTGATGTCCTTCAGTTTCGCTTGTCAGAGAACATTCCCTGCGCGTAAAGTCTAAGGAGAGGTGACCTTCAGTTTGCCAAGCAAGATGCAGAATGAGATGACAGGAAGTGTCCTGAGAACGCTGGGATTTGTGGGAGGGAGTGCGTCGCAGCAAAGATGGAGTGTGCTCTGCTGCCAAACTGCAAAGATATTGTGCTTGGACCTTCTCAGTCTATTAGGGTGAATGGGGGCCCTGCCCCATCAACCTCCGTTCCTGCTCAGTCAGTCCCCACATGCCTGTTTCCTTCCTTACAACCAGCCCAGTGGGTAACCCTGCCTGCCAGCTTCCTTCTCTCTTCCTCGGTCCAGTATACCTGAAGGAGCGTCTCCACCCCCATCGTTTTGCCTGGACGCTGAGGTCCAGTGCTGAGGGCCTTCTGGCGGTTCCCTCGCTGCAAGAAGCCAAGTTACAGGGAACCAGGCAGAGGGCCTTCTCGGTAGTGGCACCCGCCCTGTGGAACACCCTCCCACCAGATGTCAAAGAGAAAAATAACTACCAAACTTTTGGAAGACATCTGAAGGCAGCCCTCTTTAGGGAAGCTTTTAATGTTTAATAGGTTATTGTATTTTAGTGTTTTGTTGGAAGCTGCCCAGAGTGACTGGGGAAACCCAGCCAGATGGGCGGGGTATAAATAATAAATTATTATTATTATTATTATTATTATTATTATTATTCAGTATCAGTGCTGCCTTTGCATAATAGTAGTCAGAGTGCTGGACTAGGACCTGGGAGGCTGGGTTCAAATCCCCCACTTGGCCACAAAGCTCACTGTGTGACCTTGGGGCAGTCACTGCCTCTCAGCCTAACCTACCTCACAGGGTTGTTGCGGGGATTAAATGAGAAGGGGGGGAACCATGTGTGCTGCCACCTTGAGCTCCTTGAAGGGGTGCAAATGTACACAATGGCCTGCTGTTCTGCACATGAACCACTCACATTTCGCTTTACACACACACACACACACACACACACACACACGGGGAAGAGATCATGGAATGGAGTATATGGGAAGTGGTCATGGCTGGCAAGCACCTGGGATTGGACCTCCACACTGTGACATCCTCTCGCAAGTTTCACCTCTCCCTTCCTAAAGGGAAGCCCTCCAGAGATCAAGTTCTTTTGCCATTTTCAATAAAAGAGGACCAGGGTGGGTGGAGAGAGAAAGTGCATCTTTGCACTTTAAAAAACCTAATTCACCTACCAATAAAGTGGATGGATGTTTCGTATACAAATGTACCTACAGTGGTACCTCAGGTTAAGTACTTAATTCATTCCGGGGGTCCGTTCTTACCCTGAAACTGTTCTTAACCTGAAGCACCACTTTAGCTAATGGGGCCTCCTGCTGCCGTCACACCGCTGGAGCACGATTTCTGTTCTCATCCTGAAGCAAAGTTCTTAACCTGAAGCACTATTTCTGGGTTAGCGGAATCTGTAACCTGAAGCGTATGTAACCTGAGGTACCACAGTATTTGATGTGCTTATTATCAGCAGTTGGTCAATTACACAGGATTAAAGCTTGTGTGCCACAGAGAGTGGTGAAGGACCCGCCCCCCCTTGAAATATTGAGTTTTCTGTTGCTTTTCCATGAGTTTGCAAACCACCTGCTTTGGAAACAGCAGGGGAAGAAAGAGCAAGGGGCAGGGGAGAGACAAATTGGGCATCCCCACCCCTGTTTTCTGCTGTCTGCCAAGTACTCGCCAGCAACAAAGACCTGGTTGTGATCTGGGGACTGTCTAACTTGCTTGAAACATCACTCTGGGCTCCTCTGCTCAGACAGAAGGCCCACCAAGCCTTTTCTGGCAATGTTTGGGACTGAGGCGGGTCAAGCCTATTGATCTTCAGAACAAAGACGCTACCCGGGATGGAGTCGACGGGGAGGGGAGGGCAAGGGCAGAGTTCTTCAAAGTGGGTGAAGGGGCAGGCAGGCAGAAGGAAGGAAGGAGGGAGGCTGAGAAGCTGCATCTGGAAGTTGACATGGTTGTGCGTGGGAGAGAGTCTAGTTTGTTTCCAGGAATGCATGACCTGGAATCAGCCAGAGAAAAAGCTGGCCAACACGGGTTTAATTTTGCTTCCAAGGCGCCAGGTGCAGGCTATAGCACCCACGGTGAAATAGTGCCTGCCTGCCTTGGTATCTGCATCAGTTTTAGAGAGAGAGAAAGCTTTGACACCTCCCACCCACCCACCCACCCACATATACAGAGCTCTTGTGCTTTTAACAGCCAGTCATTCAACCAGTGCAACACCCTGGCATCACTGAAGCTGCCTGCCTGCCCCCGGCTGGATTTCTGCTTCTTGCCTCCAGCTGATGCTGTCTTCTGAGAAGTGGCTGAGCAGCTCTGGTCACGTAAGCTCTCGGAAGGTTGCAGGTTCAAATCCTGCAGCTGCCCTAGAAGGTGCAGAGGACACAGGAGCCTACTCCTAGGGGGCAAGCTCCCTTTGGCCCCCCTCAATAAAATATCAGCCCTGTCCCCTAGTTGATTGGCATTGCCATTCAAATGGGGGGGGTGCATGCCACATCATGTGATCGATTATGTGGGGCAGGACTTCTCTGCCCCACCCCCTGATATTTTACTTAAGTTGGCACCCCTGGCAGAGGCTCATGCCTCGGAAATTTGCAGGATGGGGAAGGAAGACCCATTGCTCTGTGACAGTTGATATGCAGCTGACTCCACATTCTCCTTAGAATGACAACATTGAAAGCTGTTTCTCTTGCATAGAAATGGGTTCCTTTGAGTCATAAACTATTATGTGAGGTGTCTTGCAAAAACACTTTACAGTGGTACCTTGGGTTAAGTACTTAATTCATTCCGGAGGTCCGTTCTTAACCTGAAACTGTTCTTAACCTGAAGCACCACTTTAGCTAATGGGGCCTCCTGCTGCTGCCGCCCCACCGGAGCACGATTTCTGTCCTCATCCTGAAGCAAAGTTCTTAACCTGAAGCACTATTTCTGGGTTAGCGGAGTCTGTAACCTGAAGTGTATGTAACCTGAAGCATATGTAACCTGAGGTACCACTGTACTCAAAAACAGACCCTCATTTAGAAAAGACACCCCACAAGTTATTTGGGTGGGTGGGACAGTGGGAGCTGCCTTATACAGACCATTGGTTCATCTAGCTTAGTTTGGTCTTCCCTGACCAGCGACAAGTCTCCAGGGTTTCAGGCAGGAAGCCTCTTCCAGCCCAACCTGGAGACGCCGGGGATTGAAACTGGGACCTTCTGCATGCAAAGCAGATGCTCTACCCCTGAGCTACAGCCCTTCCCTTAAGACACAGGAAGCTGCAATATAACAAGTCAGGCCACTCAATATTGTCTACACTGACTGGCAGTGGCTCTCCAAGGTTTAAGGCGGAATATATTGTTGTGAGGCTTTGTTTGGTTTTTTTGCAGGTGGAAGAGGAGTCAGGCTTTATGCCCGAGTCCCTTCTAATTCCTGGAACCAGCAAGGATACAATTGTTGGACTAGCCAGTCCAGCTTCTTGATAATGGCCCTGAGTACGGGTTCTTAGGATGATAAAGGAAGTGGCTCTGTGCCAGAGGGCAAAGGGGTGGCTCCCTCAACTGGCTGGCAGTTAGAAGGACAAAAGGGATAGTCGAGGTGTGTGAGGGCTGGGTTAAAAGGCAGGCAGAAGTCTGTGTGTGTGTGTGTGTGTGAGAGAGAGAGAGAGAGAGAGAGAGAGATGCTTGATTTCCCCTTGTGAAATCTGTGGCTATGGGAGAAGCAAGATCTTTGGGGTGTTAATGCTGCAAGCCCCTCCATCGTAGCCTCAGGTTGTATATTTGTCTAACTAAACAGTATATCATAAAGACACCACTGTCTCCGCTGTGCCTCAATCCAAGGAAACCAAACCCTGGGTAAACGCATGGAACCAAGCACCACTCAGAGATCAGCATGATGTGCAATTGTTTCTATATCTATATCTAACATTCAAGGTATCCATGTATTAGAATATACCTTTTTTTAAATAAAAAACACCACCTAGAATATTCCATACACAATGCAAGATTCTCAAGGTCCGGGAAAGGAAACAAGGCTGCCGGATATCAAGAGAGTTGCATCCTCCCGTCCTCAGAGTATACCTTTCCCCCTTGTTCTATAGATCACAAACACCTCCCCTCCTTTCTGTGTTTGTCTAACCATCATTTTGTGTGACACATCACAGTTTCTTGCAGACGTGAATGGTTTGCGATGGATGGGGTAAAGGAGACGTTGGCTTGTAAACAGAACTCACTGCTCTAACTGAAAGTGACTCCTTCTGTTTGTCGAGCCTCTCCTTGGCTCACCAGCCTCGTAACAGTGGCTTAATATTTGTCATCGGAGGCTTGGAGTCTATGAATAGCAAAGCAAACGTACATATCTGTAGTTTGTGTATGCTTTACTGCTACTCCCTTCAGCTTTCCCCCCCATCTTCGGATTTTACAATGTTTGCAGGCAGAGAACTGCATCTCCCACAATTCCTTGCAAGGGGTTGGATTTCCCGGGGAGGATACAACTCGGCTTAAGTGTTACGTGGTTGTTGCTGGGCTGAGGTGACACAGCATTGAGGAATCTTTGATTTCTGGCAGGCAAAGAAAGGGGATGTTACCTGGGAAAGCATGCCATAGCTCAGGTACAGAGAGCACATGAGGAAGACTCCTGATTTGCTAACCTGGAGATGCTGGCGATTGGTGCTGGGACCTTCTCCAGGTGGGGGGAACCACATTTTTGAATGCTTCCCTACGGAGAAATCTCTCTGCAAGTGGAAAGCTAGCATACCTGGGCTGAAAATGATTTCCCTGCGGATCCAGCTTTTATTTGCGAGTCAGACCACTGGTCCATCTAGCACAGTATCTGCATGGGCCAGCAATGGCCCCCCAAGGTTTTTTTTGGGGGGGGGGTTAATTCCAAGCCCTACCCAGAGAATGACGCTGGGGTCTTTGGCGTGCAAAGCATGCGTTCTCTTAACCACTGTGCAAAAGGCTATGAATGCATCCGCGGGCTGCTGCGGTGGAATGAGGAAGCAGCTGCAGGCGTGAACATGCGGCGGGGTGGAAGCTAAATTCCATTTAAGCTTTTAATACCCCCTCCGGCATCAAAGTATGGCAAAGGTTTCTGTCCCCTTGCGCTTAATGTGGCCACTCCTGTGGATTGTACCACTGCAAACTGCAGGGGTGTGTGGTGGTGGTGGTTCACTAGGAAAGCCAAGCGATGTCTCTTAAGGAAAACCTCCACCTAGGAATGAGAACGTCTGTCGCTTAACATTCTCACTAATATACTGGTTTTGTATCCTACTGGTCTCCAGGCGGGAAGGCAGTTTTCAGGGCAACAGGAGATGACTACTGGGTGATATAACAGGAGTGAGAGTCTCTCTTCCCAGAGAGTGTTGGTATAGGACCTGCGTTCAAATCCCCTCTCAGCCACTGAGCTCACAGAGTGACCTTGAACTAACCTCCCTCTCTCTGACCAGCCTACCTCACAGGGTTGCTGTGAGGACGAAATGGGGAATGGGAGAACCAAGTTTGCTACACAGGGCTCCCTGAAGGAAGGCTGGGATATAAATGTAATAAATAATAATCGGATTGCCAACACTGTAGTGTCTCATGTACTGCAGTCCTCCGGAGCTGAATGCTCCGGGAATATCTGTGTGGTGCACCTTGCTTGCCAATGGCACTCTTACTGCCTTCACTCCGGGGCTCCGCCTGTGCAACAGATCCTGTGTTAGAGGCAAAAGTTAGATTGGGTGACCCCCTGATTCTTTGAAATGTCTCCTGACGAAGCGCAAAACTTCCTCTGTTTTCAGACCCAGGTATTAGTCGCCTGAGAGTAAACCGGCAGGTTCAGTACAATTCCAGCTATCTGGCAAGGGTATTCTCTGTATGAGAAAATGCTTTAAATACGAAGTTGAAAAATAAATGCAATACGAAAACCGAGTTGGAACGTCACATTTTATTTGAATTGTACAGCTAAGGAGTGTTTTATATACAGAAATGAAAAGAAAAAGAGAAAGAAACCCAAACAATGTTTACAGCACGCTCAGGAATATAAATGAGCAGCCCCCAAAGTCAACGGAATCGCATTTGATTTGCGGAACCAGGAAGAAAACAGATGGGATGCAGGCACCTCCCTCCCAGGCATGTGGTGTTTGGTGATAAAACAGGGCCTGGAATATTGGCAGCACAATATTCAATCCATCAATACGAAATGCGGTAATTAATGGTAATTGAGAAGGCAAAGCTGCCGTTTCCCCCTCTCTTCTCTCCCCCCCCCCCATCTCGCTTTACAATCTGGAGCATTTCATAAAACACACCCCACCCGTCCTCCCAAACTGGCTGGGCTGGATAGAGAGGGAGAGAGAGAGAGAGAGAGATTCTTGTGAGTCATCTCACCAGAGAACATATTTCGCTCGGAGACATTGGAGGTTCTTTAAGGTAATTAGCAGAGAGCAAATGTTAGAAAAGATGGCCAATTTGCTTCAATTCGGAGAACACACTTGCGTACTTCAAAGACGCTTGGAGGAGGCAGTGGGGAACGGGGAGCTCGGAACCACCCAGAGGAATGTGAGACTCCCCCTCTCTCTCCTACAAAAGGAAGAAGCTGAGCACAAACGGTTAGGTTTGCTTGGGGAGTCTATGGTGTAACATTGCCTCCATTTCGTAGGCCTTTCTGAAGAGGGACATGGAGGGGTAGGTCCACATCTCGGAGATTCTGGATGTCCCTAGCAGGGTTTGCAGAGCCTCCTTAGACTCTGAGACTTTTTTTGGGGGTGGAGTCTGGGAACTAAAAGTTGATGCCTGGCCTGGCAGATCAGGGCGTAGAGTTTGGTTTGGTATGGGTGGAGCCTGGAAGCATCTGGTGGGGAAGAGAACAGTACCTGGGGGTCCAGCGAGACAGACAGGCAGACAGAAAGAGAGATTAGCTCACAAGTCAACCTGCCTACTTGAATCAACATCCCTGAGAAACCCCTGCCTATCTCTTGCCTATTAGAGTTAGCTTTTCTCTCTTTTTTTAATGACCTAGTGTGTGCTCACATGGGCTACATCAGAGGGGGGCCTACCAGCCAGTCTGGTCAACTGGGTTGGCGGCACCCCACCCCTGGTCAAAGAAATCATTCATTGAATGGAAGGGGGGCCCTTGTCAGTTGGGGAAATGGTCCCAAATTCACTCTTGGGAGTTAGTTTTGTTTGACCAGAGAAGGGAGCACAGGACACCCTTTGTTCTCCCAAAACTGTCCATAGAGATCTCTTTGTTTAATGTCTGTTCAGTTCCGTTCCTATGTGGAGGAAGGTTAGAAAGATTTGCCTCCTGGGCCATGTGCTAGTTGCACGGCAAGGTGTGTGGAGTGGGTGGCGGCAAGGGATGCTGCCGCTTAGGTTTTCCAGAGTAAATATTCATGCATGCAACTTTTTCACAGCTCCAAGTCAGGGCTGTGTGTGTGTGTGTGTCTTCACGAAAGTAAACAATTAACATTTTCACACTTGGGAAATTCACATTCTGAAGTGAGAAAAGCAGCATTATTTAGCCGGCAATTCTTACCATTTGGCTAACTCCTTCCTGCTTTTCTGTTCTTCAGTATAAGTAGCTATGCTTGGAGAAGGCTAGGCTAGATTCAAGGCTCATCCAATTGTAGGGTTGGAAGGGACCCAATGGGTCATCCAGCCCAACCCCTTTCCATGCAGGAACTACAGCTTAAAGAATTAATCTTCCCATGCCTCTATTAATTATCTGTTGTCCATATGATGTTCTCCAAACCACACTTTCCCTACCTCGGTCTGGATTTTCTCATGCCCTCTCTTTTTCTGGAATAGCCCTGGTGTAAAAAGAATGCAAGCTGAGGGAAGGGAGATGGTAGGAAGGCAATGATTTGGAGGAGAACTTCATACAGACAACACAAAATTAATGGAGACACAGGAAAGTTACTGTAGCATTAAGCAACAGAATGGCTGAGCCCAGCACTGATCTCTTTTCCTTCTTTTGTCAGGCCATGCAAATGCATGCAAATCAAAGCAACAAACAGTTGCTTTAAGATGCCACCTTAAAGACCAAAGAAATGCAGTCCTTTTGACTGGAGATGCCAAAGATTGAGCCTGGCTAATTTTCCATGCAAAGCAGGCACTGTGGCTCAGTGGTTTGTGACACCACAGGCACGCAAAAAATAAAACAAAAAGTGCTTAATATTGCATTGGAAGTAGAATTAAGCTTCTTGAGAATCTCATCTTTTAATTAAGACAACAACGGTGCAAGTTTCTAGTCCATATGGGTACAAAGGCAAGGAAGGGTAAGCAAGGGATGTGGTACATGCAGTTACACCTTTGTAGGAGTAGTGACAGGCAGCTGGGTACTACTTAGACAAGATGAAGCTGTCTAAAATTTAGCCAGGTGATTGATTGATCCATCTACAGCAGCATTGTCTACACCGACTGGCAGCAGCTCTCCAGGGTTTCAGAGAGGGGACATTCCCAGCCCTATGTGGAGATGCCAGGGATTGAACCTACGACCTTCTACATGCAAAGCAGGTGCTCTGTCAACAAACCACAGCTCTTCCGCTTACGGCAGCAGCCAGATCGTCTCCGTAAGTGTCTCATTTCAGCTTTACAGTCTAGGAAAACAGGAAGAGGCCTCTGTGTTGCTGTTGACACAGCTAAATATTGTGTATGCTGGAGGTGAAGAACCACCTCCTATCAGCAAAGGCAAGCTTGGGTGATAGGGACATGCGAGGCTGTTCACCTGTACAACCTCTCTCTTATCAAGGGTTTTATTCCTCTCTTTAAGACTTTATGGGGCTGACATGAGAGCGATAAAGGTGGACTTTGGGCCCATAGACTCAAACGGGCACTTCAAACACACCCAGGCACCCGATGGAACAACCTCTGGCACACACCCCAGAGCTGCCCGCCTAAAACAGACCTGTCTTCCTCTTTCTTTCACGGCGAAGACTTTGCCAGTGCCATCGACGGCATTACCAGACAGTATTAGACAGGGATAGCTAAGATCTAACTTTGTCTGGTAAGACAGCGATCGGCACGCCATCGGCCCTGTGGGAAGGCAAGAGTTGTCAACGGCAGATGGAGAAGGAACAAACTAGACATCCAGGCACCTTAGGTAAACTTGCATACCACACATGCATACATGAATTTTGGAGCACAAAAAATTGAGTTAGAATTCTACAACTCTGCTTTGCAAGCAGGAGTAAATGTAAGAATGCAAGAAGAGACTGCTGGATCAGGCCAAAGGCCCATCTAGTCCAGCATCCTGTCCCCACAGTGACTGACCTGTGGGAAACTGGCAAACAGGATTCAAGCAAAAGAGAACTATTCCCTCCTGTGGTTTTGTAGTCACCGATAGCCCCTTCCTCCAAAAAATTGTGCAATCCACTTTTAAAGCCATCCAAGTAGGTGGCCATCACTGCTTCCAGTGGAAGTGAGTTCCATAGTTTAACTATGAGCGACACGAAGAAAGATTTCAGTTTATCTGTCCCGAATTGCCCAACAACCAGCTTCATTGGATGTCCGTGAGTTATAGTGTTACGGGAGAAAATTTGACTCAAGTGTGCCTCTTGATTCATACAAATCATTTGGGAGTCTTCTTTTTTTATGTGCTGGGGCTTCCTTAGAAGGTGAAAATAATAATATTGGTCTGCTTTAGAACTCTTGTTCCGACAAAAGTCAATTTGCAGGGTCAATCCACATTTCACACCATTTCCTCAACTGTTTTGCGAGCAGTTAATCAGTAACAAGGCATCTCAACGGCAGGTCCGGTTCCCCCTTGCCTCCCTCCCTCCCCGCTCTTCTCCTTTGGCTACTTAGCGTTTGCCATGAGTAATAAATCCTCAGAAGAAGGAAGAAGGAAAACCAGCCAGCCATCGAGTGCAAACCCACTAGCGCGGAGACAAAAATAAATCGCTCTTCTATTCCAAGCAGCTGCTGTTTCCGAAAGTCTCTCCAAAACTCTGGAACGGCACCGACCGTCGGTTGAGTGGGCCTGAAATCATCATTCAAACAGAGGCGCACACAGAGCCTCTTCTCAGAAAGTTTTGTCCAAGAGTTTTGGCTGTTAATCTGAATGTAATGCCCGTTTTCCACGCTGATGCGTGGAAGGCTGTTTCCTTGGGTGAAGGAGAGTCTCTGGCTGCATCCGCACCACCCATTTAGAGCACATTTAAAGCACACGGCTTCCCAACAAGAATCCTGGGAACTGTAGTATGTTAAAGAGGATGGGATTGTAGTTCTGTGATGGGGTAAACAACAGCTCCTGGGATTCTTGTGGGGAACTAATGTGCTTCATATGTCTATTGTGGGAGCAGCGTTTCAAGCTTCAGAACAGTGATGCATGGGCAATATTGATTTGTAGGACAGAATAGCCTTCCTGAACCAGGAACCCCCCAGATGTTTTCAGACTACGACTCGCAGCAGCCACCCAAAACATCTGGAAGGCACCAAGCTGAGGAAAGCACCAGGACCAGAAGCCTGGATTGTACGGTGTGGGGAAGGAAGAGCTGTTGGCTACTGGACAACTTGCCTGGCCCTCATTCGTTTCAATAAGGCTTGAGATGAAGGAGACTCTCCCACGTAACTGATAACTTTCTGTTGACCATGCTTCACAGCGCATGGAAATGATGTTGCGCACCTCCTCTTCATTTTCATGTGCAAGAGCACTCCCCAGCAGCACCACTGCCATGGACTGCCTCACATCAATAACCGGCCCCAGATTTTTCCAATCTGGGGAATCAGATCTCTTGGCCAAGTCCTACTTACGGATTTCCTGCTACAAAATTCACCTTAATTTTGCACCTGAATTTTGCACCCCATTTTGCTGCTCTGCTCAAGTCCCTGCTTGCACCTTGGCTGACACGGACCTCAGACTGCCCCTTCTCATGTTCTTATGAGTAACAAAGAGGGAGGGTGGTTACCTCCATGTGCTGACTGTGGGCTTCCTCGAGTCGTCTGACTGGCCACTGTGAAGAACAGGATGCTGAACCAGATGGGCCTTAGGCCTGATCCATCAGCCACGCTCTCCTTGTCAGTCTCCAGCATGACAGTGTAAGCAATGAAAGATCCTCTTGTATGTTTGGAGTGCATTGTGGGAGACTTATGGGGCTTAACACACACACACACACGAGAAGATCCAGAGATACATGCAAAGCTGAAGTAGCCCAGAGTCTGAATAATGCTGCTGTCATGGTATACTTGAGTGATGGGGTGGCTTAGCTTCCTGCGATTGCTGCTCCTGCTTGCCAAAACAAGTCCTGCCAACAAGCAACCATTCTTAAGTCTACCGCTGGGTGTGGCATAAACCTATTCACTGTTTCTAAGCTCTCAAATAAATCATCTCCCAAGAAAGGAGAATGCTGGGGAAAGGTTGCTCCTGAGTCAAATGAGGGGATGCAGTTTATCTAAGGTTGTAGCTGAAGGAGTGCTGATATAACTCTAAAGATGCAGGGACGGCATCTTCATGATTCCTGGAAGAAGGCAGGTGGAACTGCTGAACAAGAGCCAAGTTTCTGGAGGGGCCTAATTGGGTGTGACCCAAGATGACTCACTGGGCTACTAACTCACTTGCACCACCTCCTACAAGTCTGTCCAGCTTCTTGAAACACAACGCGGGAAGCAAGATTTATTCCCCGCTTTGAGAAAGACAGGATAAACTGGGCGAAACCACCATTCCAGTAATCTCTATTATTAATAGCATGCACATCCCAACTTTCTTGCATGAATAAAATGATTATCTCCTTTTAGGCACTTTAAAGTCCCTTTACTTTGTGCTGACTGAGGGCTCCCTTCAGAATTTAGGGAATTCCCTGGAGAAAAGTACACTTCTTTTAACTAGCAAAGGGGGAAATGGGTAGGATATGCAAAGGGACAGGGAACACACAACCTTCCACTCCTTGGGGTATCTAGAGGGCTGTTCCACCATCCTTCCATAGGAGTGCTGCTTTTAAGTTACACCACAATTCTAGCAAAAGCCAAGAAGAATATAAAGGCTACATGGTTGATTTGGTTTTGACCAAGTTTTCCCTATACCTTTCCTGCCAACAGTGGGGCCCAAGCATCTACCTGAACTTGCTGCCCACTGGCACCAGATGTCAGTTCCACCCAGACTTACCTCTTTGCTCTTGGTCATGGAAGCCGTCTGATGACTGCAGCAGTTTGGCTCACCCTTTAAACATCGTTACCAGACAGTGTTAGAGTAGATTCAGAAAATCCAGCACTGTCTAGTAAGATGCCCACAGAGGAGCATCATCACAGCGGCTGGTGGCAAAATGGGGCATCCATTAATGTTCTTGCAAGAATCCATTTCTTATAGAAATCTATGAGTAAAATATCCCCCCTTTCCCATCTGGATCATGAAGTAATTACCTTTTATGTACAGTGGATAAACTGGAGATCTGACTTCCAAGAAAGGAGTGGGAAAATCAATTATTATTAGTTTTGGGGAATGCGGGTAGAGGTTTAAAAGAACCCAACCAAAGGAAATGAAGATGGGAATGTTGGATTTGATCTCGATTTGGTAGTATCCATGTCAAGGATGAGGAACCTCTGGCCCCTCATGGGCAACACTCAGCCCACAAGGGTATTTTCCACAACCCATGTCCACCTTCCTATCTGAAGTCAAGTACAGGGCAGACAGAGACACAGCTGCCAATGGGCATTCAGGAGCCTTAAAGTAAAGCTCAGCTGATGGGTGGTAAAGCCCATTTCTCAGGCTCTTTAAAGCACCACACAAGGCTCTTTGGAGTCCCGACTTCAGGTCTTCAAAACACTCCTCATTGTGACATCAGGTGATTGACAGGTGGGTTGTCCCATCCACCTGTCAAATCCGGCCCGCAAGACTAGGATCTAATAAGGGTCTGACCCTTATTAGGTTCCTCACCACCCATTTACATGGTCAGAAAGGTTAACAGTTTAAAGCAAAGTATTCTATTATCTATCGCTAGCAAAACAGTGCCTAGATTTGGTGTTTTGCAGAGATTTGGAAGCAGGGGGATCTCTCTCTCTCTCTCTCTGAATCTGTAAAGCACAGTAAGCAAGGAAGATTGGGAACCTGCAACAGCTATGATCATTGCAGCCAGACTAGTCATAGCAAGAAACTGGAAGTCAGATGACAGCTTGCAAAGGTAAAATAAAAATGTATAAGATACAGCATTGTTGACAAAACTTACATATTAGAAAATAGATACTGAAGGACCTGCACCCAAAACATATCAATCTGCTAGTTATTAGAATGTGAAATGCCAAGAACGTTGCCCATCCTTATATATTATTTTCACTCCTATAATTTGACATTGAGCCTAAAATATAATTGTAACCAAGGATACCTAAGAAGTTTAAGCAATGTTGTTTATGCAGCAATTGACTCATATATCCATGATATTATGAAACTATATTTATATTTCATGTTTACATTTATCAAGGTTATAGTTTTGGTTTTTTTTCTGGTAGGTATCTAAGTTCTTTTTCAATAACACCCCCAATGTAAGTGTGGGCAGTAATTTAAATGAACAGTACCAGAGAAATGTGTGTGTGTTTGAGAGAATGAGGGACAGACACACAGAGAGATTTATTTCTCACTTTGCACCTGCCAGGTGTGGAAGAACACCTGTGATCAGAGTTGAAATATCTAACAGCAATAGCAGCTTCCCAAAGACACCCTTGTAAATCATTATTTACAGCTTCTTTGAATAAGGAAGCTGGTGGTTTGAGGTCTTAGGGAGGGAAAAAGATGAAAGAGGGATCTGAGAGTGGGGGAGATTGGCAGCCTGTGGCTGTCCAGATGTTGTTCTGCTTTCAAATCCCACCAGCCTCAGCATGGCTAAGGGGAACACTGGGAGGGTCACAGGTTCCCCATCCCTGATGTAAGGGAGCCTTTGGTTCAACATTAACGATGGGTGTGTTCTACCACTATCAATGAAGGCAGTGTCCCTTTGAATAGCAGGTGCTTGGAACTGTAGGTGGGGCAGGTTGCTGATGCACCTGGTTCCTTCTTGTGGGCTTCTAAAAGGCATCTGGTTGGCCACCATGATAACAGGATGTTGGACTAGATGGGCCTTTTACTGATCCAGCAGGATCGGGGTTCAGTGGCGGCCACGTAGGGTTTCCTTCTCGGGATCATGTGGATAGCTCAGTTGAGACTCTTAATCTCAGGGTTCTGGGCTCAAGCCCCATGCTGGGCAAAAAATTCCTGCATTGCAGGGGTTGGACTAGATGACTCTTGTGGTCCCTTCCAATTCTTTAATACTATGATTCAACCCTGGAGACCATAAGAAGGCAGCTCCAAACTTAGAAATGAGTCAAACCCAGGGGAATTCTATGTGCTTGGGAGCTTGACTTCAGATTTGCTCTGAATTGTGATCAACAGAGCCAGCTGAAGGCTTTGACAGGGAGGTGAAATCTTCAGGCAAGGCCTCCCTCCTTAACCACAAGTCTCCTTAACGTGTAAATAGGGATGAGGGGAGAAATTTGATTCATTCCTCATTTGATGATGAACCTGCCTAAGTCACACTTCCCAATACTATATGAGAACTGAAACACAGCAATCCTTCAAAATTCACACTTCTCTTAATTTCGCAATGCAGTTCTCCAGCTGAAAAAAATGTGTACAATAATGCTTACACTGGGGTAAAGTGTGCACATTGGTGAAAATATTACACAAAATGTATTACTTATGGGGAAATTGCTTTGCAAAAACATGTATGTTAGGCAGAACGGCATACTACGGTGTATGCTGATGGATGCAATATGCAGAACTGAGGCTAGGATCTGTAATATGAGAAACTGATGAAATCAACAGATTAGCCCACCTCTTCCTGCAAGACACAAATTCACAGTTTTCCTCCAACTGAATTTGTGCAAAGGGAGAAGAGTAGCCATGTTGGGATGGAGGGAGGATCAATGAACCTTGGACACCAGCAACATGCCCAATCATTGGGTCCTGGGCTCCAACTAAATTTCCAGTCAGTGCATCTTGATCTCCAGCCAACTGCTCAACCAACTGACCTTGGGTTCAAGAGAAACACCTGATCAGGACACTCTGTGGAGCATCCTTCCTGTGGGTTGCAAACCGCAAGGCTAGGTATGCCATTATTATGACTGATCGGGGCCTTTCCCACCCCCCACCCCAATCCTTCAATTATCTGAATTGTTATCGTGCATTGCCCTCCCCACCCCACCCTCGCTGGTCACTAACCTTCTGGCTTCTGCATTCTCCGTTGGCGTTTTCCAATGCTGGGCATGAGAGGCCATAATCATCATTACCAGGCAGTATTAGAAAGACAGGAAACATCCAATGCTGCCCAGTAAGATGGCAATGACATCCCAGGATCGTTGTTCGTGCAAGGAACAGTGAGCACAATTAGCCGGAATAGGTGGCTAGTTTTCAAAAGGAAATGTTAAGGAGAGAGAATGTGACAAGGAAAGTGAAGTGCAGGCTAAAAGCCAGTGCTAAGACGGTCTTGTTACCTTTTCTGCATGCCACGTATTAGATGCTACATTACAACAGAAGAAAATCCAGATGGCAGATTTCACCAGATCTTTATTATCTTTTACCAATAGCTTGCAAAAATATTTTGAATGCAGCTTCTTCCATTTCCCATTTCCCTCCAATTCTTATATTTCCACACACACTCACACACTTCTCTCTGACATCTATCCAGGCAAGCAAGAGATATTATCAGTGTTCAAGGACACATTGCACCCAGGCAAAAAAGTATCTAAGGGGGCTGCAAGGGATCCAGTTAAACATATGGGATCCAGATCACATCTCTAGTTAAAAGGACCAGATCACGGATTGTGGGAAAGACCTCTCTTCTGCCTAGGAGCCTGGACAGCAGCTGCCAGTCAGAGTAGATAACTAGACAGTAGATACCCAGCTAGATAGACAAATCATAGAAGTTGGAAGGGCATCTAAGAGCCGTCTAGTCCAACCTCCTGCACTGCAGGGATCACAGCTAAGGAATCCCTGACAGATAGCCACCCAACCTCTGTTTAAAAGCCTCCAAAGAAGAAGAGGACACCACCTTCAGAGGTGTGGAGCAGTCTGTTCCACTGTTGAACAGCTCTTACAGTCAGAAAGTTCTTCCTAATGTTTAGCCAGAGCCTCCTTTCTTGTAATTTTGATCCACTGGTTTACCTTCTGAAACAGCAGAAAACAAACTTGCTCCATCTTCCATGTGATAGCCCTTCAGACAGATGAATATAGCTTTCATATCACCTCTTAGTTTTCTCCAGGCTAAACATACCAAACTCCCACAACCCTTCCTTGGTGATCTGATCTAAACCAGCTTCCTGGTCAATTAAGTCATGGAGTAGACCCATTGAAATTAAAAAACCTAAGTCATGTCCATTTACTGGGCCTGCTCTAACATCAGATAGACCATTTTAGTCCTTACTTCCTTCCCAACCCAACTATAAAGTGTGTGTTTTGGACCGTGGCAGTAAAGTGACCTTTGCAAACGAGAGGCTGAACCTTGATGTCTTAAAAAGGAGTTGTGGCATAAATTTTTAAGCCATTGTACTATGAATCTCAGCAAAGTGCCCCAGGTACATGAAATCAACAAGCCTGAGTGTGTGTGTGAATGTGTGCCCCTGTCTTATACAGAATGTAGGGGTACATTTCATATTTTATTAGAGGGACAAATGGCTTTCAGTTGCATGCAAGGGCAAAAAGATTCTCAGAAAGATAATATTCAAGATTCATCGGCAATGTGGAAGAGCCTCTGATTTGCACTCAGAAGGTTCCAGGCTTAACAATTCACAGTTAGACTATAGAATCTGCCTGTGATTTTAAAAGATTATTAGACAAATGCAGGGAGGATAAGGCAAGCAACGGCCAATAGTCACAGTGGCTGTGCTTTCCTTTCACTGCCAGAGGCAGCATGGCTCTGGATGCCAGTTACTGGGACTCACAATGAGAAGAGTTGTGGTTGTGCTCAGGTCCTGGTTGGCCACTGTAAGAACAAGATGCTGGACTAGATGGGCTTTCTGATCCGATTCTGCAGGGCTCTTATTATGCTCCTACCCCTCCAGGTAGGACTGGGAAAGCCTGAAACCTTATAAAGAGCCTCTGCCAGTCAATGTACAGCAGGAATAGAGAGTCTTTGGCCGTCCAGATGTTCCTTGGTGGACAACACCAGTAGCTGTGCTTTGTGGGGCTTCTGGGAGTCGGATTACAGCTCCCATTGCTCCTGATAGTTGGCCATGCTTTGTGGGGCTGATGCAAGTTTAGTCCAACAACATCTGGAGCTTCCTGTCTCTCTTTTAAAACCAGTCCTTTATTCAGAACCATAATGACTAGAGTCTTTTTAGGGCGAGAGCCACAGCCCAATGGTAGAGCACCTGTTTGGGCTCTGAACATAACTATTGGCACCTCCAGGTAGGGCTGAGAAAGATTTCTGCTGAAAGCCCAGAGAGCTGCTGCCAGCCAGTGTAGACAATAAACCACAGAACAGACAATGCCAGAAGGACAAAGTTTGCATTCCCCCATGTATAAAGCTCTAGGAGCCAAATATTTCTGACACAGTAAGTTCCTGCCTCTTCAATTCAGAGCTGAAGCAAATTATTCTGTAAAGATTCAACATATGTCAGATGTTAACATTTGCCCCCTTTCAATAGGGATTCGCTCCCCAAGTGTGAAAGTTTACCTCAGGATATTGAGGTAAACGTTACCTCAGAATGTTGAGGTAAATTTTACCTCAGAATTTTGAAATTTGAGTACTGTTGCTTGGCAGGTACCAAATGCATGCTCTGACCAGCCACCAGCTCCCTGGAAACATCCAACACAAACCATCATCTCATGGTCAGAGGTGCAATCCTGACAAGTGCAAAGCCTTATTCCGTGCCGTCCTCTATCATTGTTGGGTTGGGTTTTGCCTTATTTGGCTAACTGCTTTGTTTCCCTGTCATGAGCCACCCGGAGAATTTTGTAAGGGCGGCCCACAAAGATGGCTGACAAATGTCCACTCCTAATCAAATACGTTTTGTCAAATTTTTGAAGATAGGCATCATGGGACTCCAGATGGAGCAGCCAACAATCAGGTGAACACTGAGCAAATGTCACGATTGCCAAGGGGTGATGTGTAGAGTATTCAACATCCAAACTGACAAGAGGAGAATTTTGAGGTGAATTTTTCAAGAATAAATTAGTTTCGGTCCTACTTGCAAATGGTGAACCCATTGAGGGAAGCTATTGCATTCTCTTCACCACCCAGCCCCAAAAGCGCATGGCTACACCTCCTCTCCTCCCAGTTATTAGGTAACTGTCAAAAAAGATAAAGCAAATCAAATCCCGTCGACAGGCAGCCATGTTCCATTTAGCCTGCACAAAAGACAGACTTTTTCCCCTTTCATTCCCCCCGCCATGTTCATTTCACCCCCCTGCAGCATCAATAATTCATGGATTTAAAAGGAAAAAAAGATGATAACCAGTGAGAAATTTAAGCAGCAGATGCTCTCTCTCCATTAGAAAAAGAGAAATAAGTTTCAATTTGGGGGTGTTATTTTTCTTTAAAATATTTCTGCTTTGTTCTGTAAGGACAATGGCGCAGTGCTAGTGTTTTGACACTGCGGATCTTATAACAGCCGCTGGTGACATGTTAGCTAACAAATTGGCACAAATGACCATGGTCGAAATAATTACATGGTAAGGAGAGGCGAATCAGAGAACAAATCTCCGTCTATCAGGTCCAGGAAAGACATTGTAACAAAAGGGAGATATGTAGATGTTTTGCAAATTAATCAGCTTTAATCATCCCTTTTTAAAAACTGGAGGACTTTACTGAAAGGGCACTGGTGCCAGCTAGACCCCAATTAAAGTGAATAAGGGGGGATTAAGGACACAATCTGGTAAATGCACTTAGCACCAGGGAGTGAGCGCCACTGACTGTGGTGCAACTTGCTTCTGAGTAAACATGTATAAGATTGCACTGTAAATAGTTGAAGTCCAGGTACTGGAGGGTTTAAACCCACATTCATACCATGCATTTAAAGCACTAGGATACCATTTAAAACAGCCATGGCTTCTTCCACCAAAGAATTCTGGGAGCTGTAGTTTGTTAAGGGTGCTGATAGTTGATGGGAGACCCCCTATCCCCCTCACAAAACTACAATTTCCCGGAGTTGTTTAACAATCAAGCCCTCTTCACAGTGAAGTCTGGAAATTGTAGCTGTGCTGAGGGAATAGAGCTCTCCCGACAACTCCTTGGCACTCTTAAAAAACTGCGACTCCCAGAATTCTTTGGGTGGAATCCATGACGGTTTAAAGGAGCATGCTGTGAATGAGGCCTTAATGATCCCAAGTGTGGTTAGAGCTTGGATTGAATAACACAATAGCTGCTTTATCTTGATGCAAGCTATTAAGAGGAGGTGCTAGCCCTGCATTTTTTTACAAATTCATACCAAAAGGATGATCAACATTAAAGAAGAAGACTGCCTTATTAAGCTATCAGGGGTCTACAGAGTTGCCACATGTACTGTCTTTCAGAGGGCAGTCCTCTACCTGAAGGCTGTCTGGTCTATGAGTGGTTTAAAGATTGAGAACCCTAAGGAGGGAGATCTGGTAAACCCTGGAGTTGTCCGTCAGCAGTTGGCCTCTGGACCACAGACTAAGCAACCACACAGATCTTTTGCTCAGAGTCATGCTGAGATGCCCGGCCTGTCTATTTGAAATACAGGGTGGCATCCAGCACTAGCCTTGCTCACAGTGGATCCGCTGAAATGACTGGACATGACTTAGCTTTGGTCCATTTATTTCAGTGGGTTTATTCTGAGTCATTGGATATGTTCTGAGTCACTAAATTTACACCTGCCCCTAAAAATTAACATATGCCAACACGATGCAAATCTGTGATTCATTTCTGCTTTTGGGGGGTAATGTGTGAATAGCTACCCTAGAGGGGTATGTAAACACATCACAGGAATAATTAGTGAGTGTTATCACCAACTCCAGATGTCATCTCTGTATAGATACACCACTGACCTATAGCAGAAACACCAACCCTTAATTTCATACTTCTGCATTAATCCTCAAACATATATGGATTTTGAAAGAACCATGGTTTAATTGTGGTCTACCAAACCCCCAATATCGGGTTTGTTATTTATTTATTTGCAAGCACAGGACAGTCAAGCATTGGTCTTTGGGGGTTGCTTGCTGCAGTATGACACTGGTGACCATCTCCCTTCATCTCCCTTCCTTTCTCCATCCAGCCATGGCTGAGCGTTTTAGCTCCCCACCAGCAGAGATTATTTACAAATGGGGGAGATGCTCAGAATTCTGAGTTGTACGGGGGCCATGTCCTCAAATTCTAGATGATGGC